GCAGGTGGCTTCCACAGGACACTGGAAGGGGCAGTAGCTGTGGCCTTTTGGTAGGATCCCAATTTCGTTGGTCATCCGACGTGAAGTCGGGAATGACCGACTGAAAGGGGACGTCTCGGTTAGGTATGGTAACCCTCGTTCCCTGAAGGAGGGAACAGGGACGTCATGGATAGTGGATGCCATCACCCTGGCTTATCAGGCACAGGGTGTGCCCTGCCTGCTCAGGTTGCGAGCTCACTCAACTAGAGGTGTTGCATCCTCCTGGGCGCTGGCTCGTGGCACCTCACTGGTGGATATCTGTAGAGCTGCGGGCTGGGCGACCCCTAACACGTTCGCCAGATTTTATAGCTTTCGTGTGGAGCCGGTATCCTCCTGTGTTCTCACCTCAAACAGGTAGAAGCACTGAGGGGCCCCGGTTTCGGGTCGGCTTGCAAAACCAATCCAGAGAGTCCATACAGTAGACCCTGTTGAGTTCCTCCGTCCCCTCGGCAGCCAGATGTAGCGGAGCGTCCGGCGCCAGGCCTTCACTCGCTGAATCCTCGAGAACCGGTAAAAGGCTGGGTTCCATATGTAAGACCCAAGTGGATCTCATATGTGTAAAGTCCACGTTATAGCCTTGAGCCCGTGTTTCCCCGGCAGACTTCTGCCATTCCAAGAGGGTTCAATCACCTCCATTCTTCCATATGCACCTAAGGGATGTCCATATGTGTATTGCTTCCGAAACCTCCTTCGGGAAGGTTCGAGCTTCCGTAACGCCCCTGTTCCAAGTAGAACGGGTACGTTTTCCCAGTGTTATCCAGTCTTACTCAGTGGGTAGTGCCATAGTAGCAGTAGCTGGTCCTCTTGTGCAGGCCCTGGCCTGCGCCAAAAAATAGGGGTGCAGGTGGCTTCCACAGGACACTGGAAGGGGCAGTAGCTGTGGCCTTTTGGTAGGATCCCAATTTCGTTGGTCATCCGACGTGAAGTCGGGAATGACCGACTGAAAGGGGACGTCTCGGTTAGGTATGGTAACCCTCGTTCCCTGAAGGAGGGAACAGGGACGTCACGTTGTGATCGCTCGGCTCCGAAGCGAAAAGCTGAATATGCACTGCATCTGCTGCCTACTTATACTCATGCTGTGATCAGCAGCAGCTGGATGCAATAATCGCATGCCAATGTGCATTGGCTCGTTTAGTTTACACTGGAAGTAGATTGGGCCCTCTAAGCGAGATCCCAATTCCGTCGGTCATCCGACGTGACGTCTCCGTTCCCTCCTTCAGGGAACGAGGGTTACCATACGTAACCGAGACGTTTGGTGAGTTTGTTCATGGTCAGGCCTAGTCAAGTCTCTATTTATCTTGTATTTGGTCATGTTTTTGGATTTCAATAAACTGCACATGGGTTTTTCAACTGGCCTTCAGTGGACATTCGTTACACTAACATTCCACACTTCAATTTTTTGGGTTAATTAAGTGCATCATCCAGGTATTTAAAGTGCACTTTTCTTTTTGGAATTTTAAGTGTGAACAGTACTCCAACTATTTATGCTACAAAACAACAGAGTACATAAGTACGCAAATTGGGATGCACCTATCGTTGTGAAAGTGTACTATCTTTAAGTACACTTAAGTGGCCTTTAATGTGAGTAATATTATATTATCTGCAAGTACACTTTTTAAAAAGTGTACTTTTAAGAATTAAAGTACACTTAAAGTGCACATTCAATACAATTACTCTTTTTAACAAGGGGAATTGTGCTAATTAGTGGTCCATTTACCAGAAATGTGCAAACGACAGTAATACAGATATTCTATGGTGCCCTTTGTAAAACTAACAGAAATGCAGTATATTAATTAACTGTTAAGAGTTAATTTATTTCAATACAAAACCCGACTGTAACACCTGAGAAACACATTAGTGCTTGACAGACAATTTTCTCTGAGATATTAAGAAAAGTGAGCCAATATAGCTGTACTGCACATCAAAACAGCCTGACTTCTAAAGCCCTGAAGTCAAATAAAGAGAAGCAGGTTTGTATTTGTATGCCCTTGACAGCTCATAATTAAGCTAAAACACCTTTATATATAAGATTTCCTCTTCTTTTATTGGTTGACATAGCCTACGCTATAGCCTATTAAACCAGACATTTGCATAATGTTAACGGATGGCACAAGGGCTGCATTATCTTTGCAATGAAAACAGTGGAAGTATCTTGGTCCCAGGTGAGGATCTGACAACTTGCTGCGTTATCACATAGGGGTCAGATTCCAGTCTTGGTTGTTTATATAACCTTCATTAATAAGATTTTTATGCAAGGCTTGTTAAAGGGTATGAGGCCGGGACAGACCTTGGAGCAGCCCGCATTGAAGTGCCTCGCTTAAGGCCACAACAGAAGAGGAAATCTCAGTAATTCTCCACCTCAGTCACTTCACCTGGAAACCAAACTGAAATCTGTGCATCAGTAGCCTATATTCTCACGACAAGAAAAAGCTAATTAAAATGCACATTCTTTTAGATTTTTATTTTAGATAAATGGCTGTTACCTAAATTCAGCAGTCCTGAATATCACTAAGTCACAATTTACCCTTTGTTAAGCTCCACCCTTCTACCGTTAACGTCTCACAGTTATGACTTGTGTGTGTTTTCAGAATTGGGAGTTTATATCTTTTAATTCTAAGAAAAAAACCCATTTAAATTATGAGATGTAAACTAAGAAATGCAATTTATTTTTATCCATGGTGGAAATAGGTTTCCATAAAATGTGCCATAAAATTGTTTAAAAAAAATTATGTGGGCTGTAATAATGACATTGTAAAGTATCTTTTTATCTGCTTTTAAATTGTAAGATTATGGAGTAATGTGATGATGGGGATGGGGGGGGGGGGGGGGGGGGACACATTAAAACCAGTATATGCATTTGATAAATGTTGTAAATTTGTAAATATAAAAAAGGTGGCAACACTGTCTGTATTTTAATACACTTTTGTCTGATAATTTTAGTAACATTTATTTTAAAACTATCCCAACACACAGGACTTCCAGAGACATACATTAGAATAAAATCTTGTCTATATATGGTGTATGGCAACAGTTGCTAAGGTAGGACTGATCAGAATACTTATAAGTGAAGGGTCAATCGCTGCAACAGTACATTTTTAAGCATAGATTTGAAATCAGAGGGAAACTTCTCTCAACATGTCACCACTTCTCTCAACAGAAGCCATGAAAAAAAACTGAAAAAATGTTATCTTTCAACACATTAACAACGAAAATTAAGACTCAAAACTGCAAATATGAGACAAAATGTATTAATACACATTTCATGTTGAGCTTCATAATCTAAACTTGATAAAGCATGAACAATAAACAGTTCAAATGTAAATGTATTTTGAAATTTCGCTCTGCAAATGTTCTTGTGATTTCACCAAACTGCTTATTTATACAATACTTGTAAAATTCAAAGACAAAGAAAACAAACAGTACCTCCATAGACTTGCATTAGAAAAAATACTTATCTGAGAAAATGGTGTATAGCAACAGTTGCTAAGATAGGGTTGATTAGATCTTTTTTTAAGGTGGTGCTTAGATTAAATGATCAGTTTAGTAATGAAAGATACAAAAGTGTAATTTTATCAAAGATCTAATTGCTGCTACAACAGATTTCTGGTTTTCTAACCTCAGAAT